TCCCTGCCCACTCCTCTCCCCGTCAGTGCAGCCTTGAGCGCCCTGTGTTACTGACCCTCTGATGGTGTATGTGCCTGAGCCCCGTGAAGGCCTCTCTATAAATAAGATTCTGGCGGTGACTGTGGAGCTCTACTTGTCTTCCCGCGCCCAAGACCAGCCTGGTACGTTCCCTTCTGCCTAACCTGCACCTGCCCACCTGGAGTGGCCTCTTTCCTTGCTCTCTCCTTGCCCTCCATGTACGGGGACCAGTTTGGGAAAAAACAGGGGTCCCAGGACAGTCATGGCCGCCACCGGGGCAGACTCAGTGCTGGGCTGGTTGGACTAGCGGGCAGGGGACCGGCTGAGGGTGCTTCTTGCTTCTGCCTTAGGAAGGCAGGGGCCCTGCAGGCCGGGCAGGGTGAGAGAGGAAAGCTGTGCCACCTCCTCAGAGTCAGCAGGGCTTTCGGGGCAGGGTCCGCTCAGCAGGCTCCCGCCTCGCACAGCTGTCAGCACTGGGGGCTGCGTGAGGGGCGCGGGGTAGACTCCTGTGTGGACACAGGCTGACTCCGAGGGCTCCAGGGCGGACGGGACTCTGGAGGCCCCGCTCCTCGGCCACCCCCTTCCCACTGGGCCTGGGCACCTGGTCAAGGAGGGAACTCTCAGGTTCACCCTGCCCAGAGCTGGGGCAATCCCTAGGCACAGGGGCTTTCAGAATGGCCTGCACCACGTGAGGCCCGCCAGGCACTTGCCCGCTTCCCCTTGGCCCATCACGAGCCGCACTGAAGCTTTTGGGCCACGGCCAAGTCCCACCCCGGGTCCATTTAGCAATGGCAGGAGAAAACAACAGGGGTCCCAGGACAGTCATGGCCATCGCTGGGGCAGAGTCAGTGCTGGGCTGGTTGGACTGGAGGGCAGGGGACCGGCCGAGGGTGCTTCTTGCTTCTGCCTTAGGGGCCCTGCAGGCCGGGCGGGGTGAGAGAGGAAAGCTGTGCCACCTCCTCAGAGTCCTGCTGCCAGGGCTTTCGGGGCAGGGTCCGCTCAGCAGGCTCCCGCCTCGCACAGCTGTCAGCACTGGGGGCTGGGTGAGGGGCGCGGGGTAGACTCCTGTGTGGACACAGGCTGACTCCGAGGGCTCCAGGGCGGACGGGACTCTGGAGGCCCCGCTCCTCGGCCACCCCCTTCCCACTGGGCCTGGGCACCTGGTCAAGGAGGGAACTCTCAGGTTCACCCTGCCCAGAGCTGGGGCAATCCCTAGGCACAGGGGCTTTCAGAATGGCCTGCACCACGTGAGGCCCGCCAGGCACTTGCCCGCTTCCCCTTGGCCCATCACGAGCCGCACTGAAGCTTTTGGGCCACGGCCAAGTCCCACCCCGGGTCCATTTAGCAATGGCAGGAGCTACACACCATCTACACGTGGGTTTCTCTGTGGCGAGAAGCCAGGAGAAATCTGGCGGCTTCAGACACCCTCCCGCCCGCACTGCCTGGCAGGTGGCTCTCCCCCCTCCACAGGCCCGGGATGCGAGGCTCCCACGGACACAGTGGCCTGTTCTCCAACTGCAGGGCCCAGGCCCCGGGCCGAGTCTAATCCCTTCCGGGAGGCAGCGAGTGTTCCCTGTGCTGACTGCATGTCAGGAATCCAGTCTAACACCCTGGACTGGTCCCCGGAAACGTGTGAGCAGCGTTCAGCCACTGATGGTTGGGGAACAATACCTTCTGACGTGCCTGAGGGCTGGGCAAGGGGTGCCTGGGCAGCGGGTGACTAGTATGTGTTTTATAATAAGAAAAGGTCATGAGTAAAGTGTCCAAAGTAAAATATTTAGAAAGGAAACTACAGAATAAACCCAAAGAAAATAGAAGGCAGAAGTAAATGAAGAGTGGAAATTAATAAAATACAAAGATACATTAGGAATATCAAAGCCAAAAGTTGACTCCTGAAAAAGACTAAGAACATAAGTAGAAATTTGGGAAAAAAATTATTCTCAACACAGAAAGGTATAAGACACAAATAAACAGAAGTAGAAATTTTAAAATCTATAACTAGGTTTTACAGACATTAAAGGGTAAGACAATGTTATAGGTAATGAAATGGGAAATACTCAAACTTGTGGATTCA